CTTCTTTTTTTTTTTTTTTTTTTTTTTTCCCCACCCCGACCCAGTTGCTAGATGTGCTGGAACAATACTGTATGGCATCTGGGCTGGATTACCAAAGACTTGATGGAAATACAAAATCAGAAGATAGGATCAGAATTGTAAGAGAGTTCAACAGCATTCAAGAAATTAACATATGTCTTGTATCTACAATGTAAGAAAATTTAACTTGTAGTCTGTTTCACTCTAGTACGTAGATTACTCTGCATTTTGCTTGATGACCTTGTGAGTGATTATTTTTCTGAAAAAGTGAATTGTTCTCTTATCTGTTAGTAAACATAGACTCACTGCTGTGCTCTGATGCTTCTTAAAATATCTGGAGACTTCCTCCTTTTCCCTCTCCTCTCCTCTCCTCTCCGAGGATTTCTAACATCTCAAACAAGTGCATCTTCTGAATTCTGGTTTTAAATTTCCAGATGCTGTAGGAGTGAGGAAACAGTTTTGAAACGTTATCATTAAAACATTATTATTTTTGTTATTATTGATATTATTGTTATTATTACTATTATGTAATTTTCCACAAAAAGCTTTCATTTTAAATTCTGGTTACTTCCATTTTTCATCTTGGATGAAGTTTGTTACCAGACAAGGGCAGAAAGGGAACAAGAGAAATTTTTCATCTGGGCAGGACGATTAAACTTGGTGAGACTCAATAAAACATGCAAATATGCTGTTCTTGCCTATACAGTCACTTTAGTCCTCATTTGTGTGTTAGAAAGGAGGAGCCACACTATCTTAAAGATTATTGGAAGTGCATGTCATAACTGGCTTCAGATGTTCTCTGGTGTTGTGAAGAGATTTGTGGTGTTGGTCACGCACATTTGTTTGTATTCTCTGTCAACTGTGGAATCTGGCCATCAGCTTCCCTAAGACCTTCATTGAGTCCCTATTCCTTGTCTCTCAGGACAGCAGGGAATTACTGCATCTGTAGCATTAGGAAAGACTCTGTAGTTTGTGCCTCTATCACTCTAGTTGACTTGTGTCTTCATAACCTTTTCAGTTCTCTTCCATTAATTTACATAGAAATACAAATGAAGGTCAGGTAAACAGAGAGACTTTATCCTCTCTGTTACGAGAGCTTGTGAATTGGTGAGCTTTCCATGCCTGCTGATGGTGCTTGAGATGAGAGTCTCGATTCTCTTGGTTTTAGTGTTTCTCATCTTACTGAGTAAATGGAAGGAACAAACAATGATGGAAATGCAGTCAATATAACCGGTGTTTACTAAGCAAAACAGAAGGTGAAATTATTTGTGTAGCTTATCACAGATAACAAGAAGTGATCTTTTTGCTTGCTTGATATACAGTAATGGAAGCAGCTTTAATTATGTAGTCTTTTGGAAATCAGAAAGTGATTTATTGTAATTCTACTCTATGAGAGATTCATCTTTCCTCTTACTCAGATTCTAGGCATTAGGACTTTACAGTATATTCTTTATTTCTCAACGCAGTATGTTGACAGAATTGGGTCATACTCTTCTGTCTGTACTTTCTTGCAAAGTTTTTGGATGACTATTCTGTGTAGTCAACTTCTGTGTGTTCTGAAAGTCCCATTGCTTGGAGAGCCAAATGTTGATTTTCGCCGAAAATACTTGCGCATTCTTTTGGCTGCAGAAATGCATTCTGCAAAGGATGAATTGCATAGTGATTTTGAGTCTGTCATTATATTCCACTGGCACAGTTAACACACAATTTTAAACAGGAAGCTCCAATCCATAAATTAGCAAGTTACAGTGCAGACAGCAGTGATACCTTCACTGTTAAATTTACAATGTTCATGTTTTATATTCTCTTTTTTCAAATACGGGCAAAATGCTGTTTCTGTGTGGAATTGCCTACATGTAGCCTGTAGGTATTTGGAAATCCTGATTTTAATTGGTTTATGGGGTTTTTGAGAAATAAGTCTTAAGTTAAAAAAAAAAAAAAATCTGTCCATCTATATAGCTTGACCTCAAGTTTTGCAGTTAATCTTAGTATCAAACATAATCATTTAGCTATCCATAATGCCTTTATTGATATCTATGACTAATGTAGCTATATGGATGAATATATTTTATGGGTGTTGAGAGAAAATATGACTGATTTCTTCAGAGCTTGTAAATTCCATCAAACCATTAGGTATAGATCATGAATTTCAGCCTTGAACTGTATGGAAAAATAGGTGTACGTCTGTTGGAACTTCTAAGGCTCATTAAGTAAAATCTGTTTCAGAGTTTTTCAGTCCTGTGCTGGTGTTGCTGGGAATATGTGTGATTATATGGAAGAAGAGAAGGGGATTTTGGGGCATGCTCAGAAACATTAAAATAGTTATTGGAGTTGCTATAACTTGACAGGAGAATGTCAGAGCTTGCAAATCCATCAATGCTGCTTAGCCTGAAGAAGGGGAACTGTATATGTACAACACTAAAGTCTATGCAGTCCTGTTCCATCACAGTGTTCTGGAAGAAATAAGAGCAGCGAGTGTTCCCCCCTTTAAAAATAAATCACTGTTTCTGGACTTTCCATGCTAGTCTTTCTCTAGTTTAATTCCTTTGGTATAATTTTAAGTGAAAATATATTTCTGCTTCTCAGTTTTCTTTATTGTGTAAAGAAAATTGCTTAGATGATGAAGAGATGAAGGTTGCAGAAATAGTTTTTATCGTGAAAGGTTACAGTAGGCACTTCCATTTTACCTGCAGTATTCTCAATTACTGTCCATTACTGGACTGCTGTCCATTACTTTTTACTTTTACAGGGCTTCATTTATCTTGAATTCTTCACAATTGTGTTGCAAATAATTTTTTAAGGCGCATGTAGTCACATTCAAAGAACTCTCAGCCATAAGATCTCAGTGAAACAGAGAACTTATAAACTGTGAAAAACTTAACTTGGTAAACAGAATTGCATAGTCAAAACTTTCATGGAAACTTTCCTAATGCAATATTGTTTTGTAACTTCTGAACACTGAGTTATTGTCAGGGACAAGATACCAGACCAAGCCATTTATTTAATCCAATGTACAGTTTTAAATAAGATGATCTTTTGAAAACTGGTTTGTAACAGAACTGTTATGAGATCTCTCATACAGGGCTGTTCATTTCAGACATATGGTAATTTGCATGGACCATTTTGCAGTAATGACTAACAGCTAGTTACAGTTATAGTTAAAATGGAAGATACTCTCTACAATGCATAAACTAGCTACAGCATTCATTCTGTCCATGAAGGATATAGGGGCCGTTCTTTCTCTCTTTTAGAGTATCTGAATTTTTGTGGGATACCTAAAAATATTGAAAAACAAAATCTTTATGAAGCTGAGTATCCTGTTTAGTTAATTTTTATAGTCAGTCTGTTTTACTTGCACTAGGGCTTTGCACTGAGGTTTAATTCATGTTTCAGTTCCAAATATTGCAATTTTTTATGAGAAAGCATTTGGAAAAGCATGTTGACTTATCTTTCAGTCTGACTGCACCATTGGCTTGGTAAGATGAGAGGCTGAATTCTGTCCTCAATGAAAAGAAATGCACCAAAATTCCAAAATACAGTAAGGTATTCTGAAAAATACAAAGATTTTTATTCAGCATTTCAAACTTTGAGAATGCTCGTCCTCCAGAAGCTTCCATTAACATTGGCAGGTTCCCACATCCTCTACCATTCCAGATTTAACTAACCCAACACCACACCACACTTGGAAGGAAGAGGCCACAACTGTATTTGCATTAACAAGGATTCCATGAAGACCAAAAAGTGGTGGGACTCCATAACCTTTTGGTTTCTTGGTTTCTGTCTGTTCATTTTTATACCTGGAATCTTTACCTTTTGTGCTGCTTTAAACAAGCAGAATATAAAGTAATCTGTTAAAACCAGGTGCTTGGTGAGTTAAATAGGATTGACTTTTTCCGTTTTGCAGTACCTCATTCAGGAAGAAAACACACGTGAAATTAGTGCTGCCTATGTCAATGTGAACAATTGTTTTAATAGTTAAATTAGTAATAGTATTTAGCATGTGCTTGTATAGGAATTTGTCTCTGTGTAGAAATGTTGGTTGACCCAGTTTGAAAGCATTTTCAGTATTTGCTTGTTTTGCAGCTGGATGAGAAGTGCTATTTTCCTCAGTTTTGTTCCTATCAAATCATTCAGCTATGCACACACCAAACTCTTAAGTAACTGAACAGTTTTGTTGGATTCAGCAAGGCATTAGTTAGCTACCCCAGATTATGCATATGCTAAAATTCTTTACTGGCTTGCAGGCTTTACCTGAAAGCACACTGCAGCTGTTGAATGTTTTAAGGTGATTTAACTGGTACCCCTGTGACTACTAACCCACACAGTAGCTAATTTGCTTACAGCGACTTTCTTCCTTGTAATGACCAGTGTGAATGTTGCTCGTATGCAGCAGTATGGCTGACTGTTTTTTTGACAGTTAACTTGCACACTGTACAAATACACTTATGAGAGTTTTTAAGTCTTACAGGTGTGACTTACCTTAGACTGTTACCATTTTAGTGGCAGCTGCATAGTGTTATTGTCAAAACTATATACTGGGATTAGAGGAAGTAAAATGTAATGCAGACTATTTAAAACATATTTTCCTGCTTCTATAATATTAACTGGCATAAAGGTGGTTATGAATTTCAATGTAATGGTTGGGGCAGTTGGCCTATGTAGAGTCCTGGGTATGAAGTAGCGATCAGGACTTGTACTATAGCAAGGTGCCAGCAGTTGGTTATGACTCAGCTAGTCATACAGTTTGTAATCTTGTTGCTGCTTAGGTGAGAAGACTGCATTTTACAGCAGTGGTTATTTGAGTACTATGGTTATTTACACAACAGTAACACAAAGCTGTATCCCACTGTTTTCAGTATCTCTGTTGTGCCCCTTTTTTTCTCTGTTGTGTACTTTTTTTTTTTGTATGTTGGAGAAGGGTATGCTGATATGGACCTAATACACTGGAAAAAAAAATTGTTCTATTTTTCTTACTGTCAAATAGTTATATTTTTTTATTTTTATGTTTTTAGGGCTGGTGGACTGGGTCTTAATTTTGTTGGTGCCAATGTTGTTATACTGTTTGATCCTACATGGAATCCAGCAAATGATCTTCAAGCTATTGACAGGTACACTCTCAAAATACAGAACTTGATCCATATGATACTCTTCGTTTGCTTTGATTCTGTAATCTAATTGTCCAACTAAAATGTTCCTCAGGCAATAAATTTTTTACATAGTCTGATATGCCTACAATAGAGTAAGAAATGTCCAGTTAAATATTTTTTTTAGCTTTGATGTTCTTACTTGTAACCCAGAATTTTACTTCTTGTTTTCCATTTTATTTTTGTGACACTGCTATGGTGGGCTCATTAAAAAAAACCAACACATAGTTACTCTTAACTTTTCGTGTGCGTGTGTATTCATGTGTGTGCATGGAGCTGGATGGCGTTTTTTCCTGTGTTTTTCAGGACAGAGTATATTGTAGTTCACCCTAGTTCAAATGATGTTTTGAATTGCAGAATCCTTGAAGGAAAAACATTTATGTTCTCTTCTGCTTCACCCTTGTGGAGATTAGTGTGTTTTCAGCACTCACTTCCATTTCTGATATTATGCCATTGGAGTATTTCCAGGAACCTGGATTTTTCCTTTAAGCCTTTTTGAACATAGGATATTTTCCTAGGAATTCAGGACAGACTTTTTAATAGCTGAAGTAAATAACATTGGAAGCCTTCAAAATTCAGTAGATTTATGTATTTTTACAAGCAGAAATAAATTTGTTTCTGTTGTCCCATCCGAGTATGTAATTCCATTTTAAGAGTCTTTCTACTTTCTGAAGGGTGTTTATGTGCACCTGTTCTAGAGAAATATTTGTCAGAAATGTGTATTGTTGAAAGGGACTGTCTTCAAAGAATCTTTGTAAGATCTCATTTCTATATATTAGTTCAGCCTCTCTTGAATTTTTGAAATATAATGTATTAGAAGTCTCAGAATTTGCCGTTTAGATAGAACACTGCCTGTTCATTAGCTGTTTTTATGATGTTGTAACTTGCAAAGTGCTTTATAAAGTTAAGAAAAAGCAGCCTGCCCCATGTAATCCGTGATTTAACTCCTATATAATGCAAATAGGAGTGTATCCTGTGCAAGCGCAGATGGAGACAAAGGGGGGGGGGGAAATGTGTGAGAAAACATAGTGGAAGATGTATTTTCAACTGGCTAGGCCTGGGAAGAAATGTGGAAAACTAAGGGTACGGGAAAAGGAAATGAAATACTGAGGAAATTTGGAAAAGTAAAAAAAACCAAAACAAACAAAAAAAAAAAACCCAAACCCTACAATGCATAAATTATCTAGAGTACTCCTGGTTTACTGGAGTGCTTTTATTTTACTGTCCCTAAGAGCTTGCTCTTATTTTTTTACTGATAAAAAGTGTTTTTTAATATGCCACTGTCCTTGCAGAGCTTATAGGATTGGCCAATACAAAGATGTTAAAGTGTTTAGATTGATATCCTTGGGAACTGTGGAGGAGATGATGTACTTGCGACAAGTTTATAAGCAGGTAAAGTTCACAAACTATTTAAATTGTGAGTTCTTTTTAGCAGTTTCAGTGACTGAAAGCTAAGCTAGCCTGTAGCAAAATTGTAGTTCACCTTGATTTTATGACATATGCTGTTACCTTAACTTATTAAGCAGAGATACATCATTTAGGAATTGTCAGAGAACAAAACAATTATGTTTTTATTCAAGTTTTTCTCTAACTTTTGACAGTCTAATTATGCAATATACATTGATTAGGTTATACAGAGAACTGTTTTATTTAAAGACTTGTAAAAATCTGTAACTGGTGTAGTTAGTATCTCCAGCAGTCTGATTCATGCAGCTTTTTCGTATGAAAGGCTGGAGAAAGAGAGCAAAAATCTTGCTGCTGCTATAGAAGAAAAGCAAGAAGGCATTGCTACTCTTGTGTCTCTAAAAACTTGCTTATAAAAGGAAAGAGCTTGTCGTTGCTGTTATTACCAAGGTAAGAAGTGGTGTTGCTTGCCAGAGTGCTCACCCTGAAACACTTGCTCTCTCTAAATTTTGCCACTTGCATTGATACATTTGAACACCTACAACTGCGAAGGACAGTGTGTGGTTTGAGGAACACATAATCTAGCAACTGTTTCCTGATGAGATCAGAGTTAAAAAACAAGCAAACTCCAACATGAAGAAAGAGCAGGCTGCAGAATAATAAGAAACTAGATGAAATATGTCCATGTTTTCCTCAACAAAAGTTGCAAGTTACAAAATAAGGTGTCTGGTTTTAAGTTAAGTTACTGACATTAGGGGAATACAGACTTAGAGAAAGGAAAAAAATCAGTGAGATGACAGTTGTCCTGAAGAATACATTGCATAGAAAAGAAAAAGCAGGTCACCTCAGTGGGCAAATGATGTTAGATATTAAAGAAAGCTTTGTGAAATTTGATGAATTAACCTAATAATTTGAATTTTTGGCCATAAATAAGAAAAATTTGGTATTGAGTCATCAGTGACAAGCCCCCTCTTGTAGCTGGGTTATTTACAAGGAGGAGGCTGGAGGCTGAATGAGAACTTAATGCAGAAGTATACGGATTGTCATAATCCTCCTAAGATTTAAGTAAGTGACAAATAAGAATGAGATTCTAAGATTATCTGATTTCACAGAGCAGATAGTCAGAAAACCCAGAGCTGGAAGATCAATCTTGAGCTGTTCTCAGTAATGTGTATGGCCTGCTTTATAATGTTACTTTCAAAAGTGTGGCAGTGACTTTATCTCACTTAAATTCAGTGTTTTGTAGAAGCCAAAAAGCCATTGAAGTTCTGTTTTAGTTTGACAAAATAATCTAAATAAAAAAGAGGAAACTTGTTAAGAAGAAATTAAAAGAAGTGGGAGATAGGTTGAAGTGCTGACAGGTAATTGGGCAATTTTCAGAGACTGTTTCACAAGCTCAGAATTAAGACGTATTAATATCTGTAATCGTATACTAATGAGGCAAGTTAAATATAAAATGCGGTAAGTCCACAACCTATTTTAGAGATACAGTGGTCTAAAAACATAAAAGCTAGTAATCTAGTTCTCAAGCACATCAGAAGCAGGAATAGTACTGCCTATGGGCATTACTTTAGAGAGGTTTAATGGTACGTTCATGCAAAACACCTACTTGATTTATTCTTTATATACACATAAATGGAAAAGCTTAGAGAGCACTCTGTTCCAAGGTTTCCCTTGTGCAAAGTAGAATTCATTTCAACAGCAAGTATCAGTAAGAGAGGTCTCAGAAAGGCTAACAAAATGATAGTGGATTACGACCACTGTATTCACTAAAATCCTGAAGGAGGGGAGTCATGCTTCACAGGGGTCTTTGGAGTTGGTGATCTTGTAGATAAATAAGACCTGTCTACTGTCTGTTTGGATTTCCAAAAGGCATGTGTAAAACTTCTTGAAAGACTCTTGTCTTTTTTTTTTTCCAAGTTGACTTGTGTTTTTCAAGTTGAATAAGAAGCAATAAACAGAGTAATTGTAAATCTGGGATTTTTTTTATTTTTTTTTTTAGTCTACACTTGGATTGCCTTCCTTGCTTTTGACACTTGAGAACAGTTAGGAAATTTTCAGTAGGTTATGAAGAAAATGCATTTTTCTGCTGTTGAAAATTCAGAAACCATGAGCGCATGTGGATATGTGGCTCTTGGTGAACTCTACAAATGTCCTCTCAGAGAGGAAAATGTTGTCAGCCATCCTTTTCATGAAATGAATTTACGTGAAAATGCTTTATCATGTTTGTGGTGTATTCTTACTGAGGGATCTATTTGATTTTTAAATTGCTGAATTTTATTTAGTGATGTTTGGTTGTCTGACCTAGTCATACGTAGTTGGAGAATCTAATGTAAATAAAATTGAAATCTTACATAATAAAAACCCAAATAAGCTATATATGTACACTATACTTTTGTAAATACCATGCATAAGTCAAGAAAGATGTAAACTGTGCTTAGCTAAAGTTAAACTAGAACTTGACTACACTGTAGTTACTGGCCTACATAATTAAATAGGTGTGCTGTCTAGGAACATGCCTGTTCAGTGCTAGAACTAGAAGTGAGTAGAACTGAAGAACTACCACCTGCTTAGAGACAGTTACAAAATATGTTACAGGTCTGCTATCCATAAAACCATGGTTTTGACGTTCTTCCACTTAAAGTCAAATATACCAATTGTGTAAGTATTGAAAATTTTCAGTCATGGGAATGCAGCTAAATCTGCCTGATTTCAAAAATGTTTTAATTCTGCCTGTCAGACTATTTACTTGTCTTTCCTTTTAACCTGGAATATTTTTAAGCCATTTCTGTTCAATCTACTTAGCAAGAGTGCATGATAATTAAAATACTCAGAGACAGGAGTAATCTCGTGGCTTTATTTAGTCCTTACCTAGTAAGCATGCAATGCAAAGGACTATGAAAAAAATAGTAAGAATTTAGTAGTGGGGAAAGATGAGCAGTCAAGATATAGAGGAGTGTCAGTAGTGTGTGTAGTAGGTGTCTGATATTAGACAACAATGAAGAAAAAGACTTGAAATATTTTTAATTTTTTTGTTCAATAAACCCAAGCAGGTTCATATTATACCACAATCTATTGTACCAACATCTGCCAGGGAAATTAAAACGAAATATCCTCTCTTAGGAATTTCTGCCTGCTCCAACTAAAGCTGTGTATATAGTATGGATGCCAGGAAATTCTGACATGTTGTTGGAGCAAACACTTCTGAAATCTCTTGTGTTGTTCTATTTTAGCAACTTCACTGTGCGGTGGTTGGAAGTGAAAATGCGAAGCGGTATTTCGAGGCAGTGCAAGGATCAAAGGAACATCAAGGAGAGCTTTTTGGAATTCATAACCTTTTCAAACTTAGGATTCATGGGTCCTGTCTTACCAAAGACATCCTGGAGGTGTAAAGTCTTATCCTTTTACATTTTTTTCTTTCCTTATGAGATATTTTGTCATAATTTTAAATGGAAACACTTTGTAAAACAGAATAGTGAAACTTAAATAGTGTCTATCAATGCAGTGTCTTAAATTAAACAGGCATGCTAATGTCTCACTCTGAGGTAGACCAGATAAAGTTCCTCAAATCAAACAAAAAAATGGGAAAAGGTTTGGATTATGATTTTCAAAAGTTTGATATATATTTTAAAAATATATTTATTTTCCTCATAAAAATGCCATCACTTATTTTTGTGATACGTTCATGTATTGTCAACTTTGTGCACAGATACCTTTTGTTCATCATTAGCTCCAAGTGACCTTCTAAGCCAGAATTCTGATCACAGAAATATTTTTTATGATCACAGTAACCTTTTTATAGTACATTTTGAGATGTCAAAAAACTGTTTAATAATATATGTTTTATAATGCTGTATTTAAAAATGTTACAGGGTGGAAGTACATAACTGAGCCTTCATATTTTAAGATTAGTTTCTTAGTTACTCTAAAAAGACTGTTGACCCGGTTCCATGGTGTGTAGTACAAACTGATTTTAAGTATATGCAGTGTTACAATGCGGCTAACTTGCATTTTGGAATTTAATGCAGCTTTATTCTAGGTTTCTCTCTATTCTTCCCTTTATTTTGTTATGTTGTCTATGCTAGGAAGAGGCTGGGAAATGTGACAGATCAGTATAAAGGTAATATAGCCAAAAGAGTAGAGTGGTGTAAGAACACATACTTTGGGGATATGAAGCTCAAAACTTCTCTAAATGAAATTAAAACATGGCGTGTAATATGAACATTGTACCAGGTATTCTGCTGTGGAAAAAAGTTTAAAATTATTAAACTCTATTCATAAGATCCTCACAAATTATGCAGCATGTTACTTTTCCTGCAGTTTATGTGTTAGATCAAAGAGCAGTAGGTGAATTGACAAAATGTAAGTCTTAGGACTTTGCCGATTGTGCTTCTGGTCCTTACGCCTCTGTAGAAAGAAAGAAAAACTTTTTCTCTGGGCTTACATTTGTTAACTTGAACAGATACAGGTTTTATTACATATGTTCTTGATTGCTTTAGAGGGAAGGGCGAGTAGAAGCAGGAGTCATGACAGCAACCACATGGCTAAAGGAAGAGAATCCTCCACGTAGCTCAGAAAAGGTGAGGTGTCTTTGTGGACTACGGACCAGAACATGACAGTCCCTGTAGTTGCTGATACTGCAAATGCGGACAGGATGTTGTTAGGCTGATATTTCTTTTACCCTAGATTACACTTGACATCTTTTATTGTCTGCTTGCCCCTGTTTTACATATTGTAATGCATTAGATAATGTCATGCTGTCTGTGTTTCTGTCAGTATTATTTTAAATCAGTATGCCATCACATTGGTCATAACCTCACATTGCTAATACATCACTGTATGGTCATGATCTCACATTGGACTTGGTGACAAACAGGAACTTTTTCAGCTTATGTTAAATGCTTTTGGATAAGCAGGGTGATATCACAATCAATATATTAAATTTAAAACTTCATGTACAAAAGTTTATTTTCCCTTCTGACTTCACATTTACATTTTATCGTAATCTTTTTCTCAGTAGTACACAGTTTTGTATTCTGGGCTTTTGTATCTTAAAAATGTTTTAAGATTGCCTGGGCATAGTTTTTGTTTGATTACAGTAGGCCTCAACTAATTTTAGAGCTGAATGTTATGTACTCGTAGCTCTTTTAAAATGTGTTAGCCCCCATATACACTGCTATAAGAGTATTTTCTTTATGAATATCATTACATAGTATTAAGGTTTGAATCATGAAGTCACTCTTCAAACTACCTTTGTAAGATGAAAAGTTGCAAAAACATTAGTATAAACCAGGAAAATCTGGATGTGCATTGTGAAGATGTGGGGTTTTTTAGCAATGTGCAACATATATTGTCTCAAATATACATTTTACTTATTTTCATTGTTATTCTGCTGAAAGTTTTGTTCTGACAAAAGCTTCCATGTAATTTATCTCAGTGATTTGTTTTCTGTTTGCTTTCTATTTGTGTATTGTAATACTATTATGTATTTTTTTTAATTGAGTAACATAGTGAAAATGGACTTTTTTTTTACACTGCCTTGGTGTGTTCTGTGTATTGTTTATATTTTAAATACCTTTGCTATGAATTATTTTTCTTTTTAGTGTGAACAATCAGACTGTAAGGAAGATAGAGATCCCCGAAGCATTCAGACACAATTAGAGAGAGAAGAAACAGATTTTTTTGATGACTTCAGTGATGATGATATTCTGGAAACTTCAATCAAAAAATGTGACAGAAGGAAGCCTTGCAATGCAGGTCTTTTAATGGTAACAAAGGGACAGGTTTCCTTAATGCAGTGTGGATTCTCTAAGTTGTTGGAGAGAGAAATTGAAACTACCAAAGAAGCTGATAATTATAACTCTCGTCATTCACGTTCTGATGATCAGACTGTAAGAACAAATGTAAAAAGCAAGCACAGTGAATTTCAGAAATGTCAGAGCCATGTGCCTGTTTTGGAGCATGAGAAAGCGGGTCAGTCACCATATGAAACTGAAAAACAAGATAGGCATAGTACAGACTGGCTTGTTTTATCAGGCTCTGAGGAGGAAGGGGACAGGGAAAGTGAGGATCAAGGCATTTCAAAGCAAAGTGATGTAGTCATGGAAACTGAAAGCAGTTCTGAAGAGGATGATGATGTCGTCTTTCCTACCCAAGGTCCAGCATGCCAGCAACCAATGCTTACTAAAAAAGTTGAAGTATACAGGTCAACACCTGAAAATTGTGAAGAGCTAGCAGAAAAAAAAGATAGGTTTCTATTTAAGGGAGACAGTAGGCAATCTGGATTCCATAGTACTGAGTCAAATTTCAGCAAAGTCATGTCTTTTGAAGACATCAAGAACACAAGAGATTTGAAAGAAGCAAGTGACGTAAGTGATGAGTCTGATGATATTGAAATTTCCCATAAATCTGAGTCAAGAAAGTTAAGAACTTTCAGCTTTTTGAAATGGAAAGAAAGACATGCCCATAACAATGGACTAAGTAACATCTCCAAAACTCTGCTACAAGCAAAGAAGCCCAATAAAAAAGAAAAGGAAAGTGATTCTCGGAACACAGATGACCTTTCATCCTCTGAAGATAACTTAGTAGTTGAGAAAGTTTGTGCCAGAAAGCAAAATCGTACGGGTAAAAGCCGGAGCAGGAGAGTTCATTTTGGGTCTAAAATGCTTCATCCTGTTCAAGATACCTCTGCACAAATAAAGTCTAGCAATTATGCCGTGCGTAGGTCTTCTACAAGTAAAACTGAATTTGAACATCAAGAGCAAAAAGTGGAATCAATGGACAGATATTTAGGTAACTAGTAATTTGATTTCTTTGATTTTATTTCAACTAAATTAGTAACATATGTTTAATTTATAATTGGCAAATTTTAAGTTCTTCCTGCTATACATGTTTTTGTTACAGGATACTGATAAATACTCTGCTAAATTATTTAGTAATGTCTTTCTGTATCTCTCTTTTTACCTATTAACCTTACTTTCCTGTCTTCTGGGGTGATGTTCTGCTTTGTAGTTTGTTTTTTTTTTTTTTTTAAACACTTACTGTCTGTTGAAAGATGCTAAGATTGAAGATTTATGAAGAATTCACAAATCCAAATATTTGAACTGTAAAACCATAAAAATCTTGACAGGAGTGTTAAATAAAAACTTAACTGCATGAAAAAAAATTGTGTGATCTGAGAGTTTGAAATATCATGTAGAAGATTTGATTCTGTTAGAGACTTAACTTTAAACAGTAATATAGCAGCTGTTAAATCATAGATACCTTGAAAGGTTTTTGTCCATCTGAAAAAAAAAACCACACTGAAATTGAAGCAGTATTAAACTGTCTGAATAAATCTGAATAAGTCTAATGATTGTTGTTCATTTCATAGAGCTGAAAAACTTGGTGCTGAGTGAAACCATAACAAATTTTACAACTTTCATATAAAATTTTTTTATAAATTACAACATCCTTCTTCAGTGCAACTGTTTACCTTCAGGGTTTTGGAATAACCAACATCTTTGATTATATCTTTCTCTTTAATATATCAGATGGTGTTCAAGAAGTGGCATATATTCATTCAAATCAGAATGTGGTTGGATCCAGCAAGGCTGAGAATCGCTTGAGCCGGTGGGCAGTGCGAGATGTGTTTCAGTTGAAGCAGTTTTCCCAGCTCCCCGCTAATGTAGCAGTCTGTAGTGCCAAGGTAAAGAGAAATGTTTGGGAAATGTTTTTACTCTTTTTTTTAATCTTCGTTTTTCATCTTGAAAAGCTCTAACAAGCTTGTTTTTCTGTTAATGGCCACCATGAATGATCAAAGCCACTGAGGATGGGAGGAGAAGGAGGCTCAAATGGAGGTCTAATAAATTACTTTTGTGTTTTGTTTTTTTGGGGTGTTTTTTACATTGGCCAGCTCTGAAAGAGTTGGGAATTAAACAGCACAGCACCCTCTGTGGGATTTTTCTGTGAGAGAAATAGTAAGATTAAAGATAGAGTGTTTGAAATAAAATTCTGTGCCATGTTTTTCTGATTTGAGGCTTGAAAAAACTTCAGTTTGTCCTGGCTCCAGTTAACAAAAATCTAGTTGCCACAGTACATGCCAGAATCTCTGTAGCATATAAAGTCAAACATAAATCAGCTTGCAGGTTTTTTTTCGGGGGGTGGACACATGCAGTTGCTATAATTAGTTAAATTTTCTATGCTTAACGTCTGAAACGTAAACCTAGAGTTTACGGGGTGTGCTCATTTGCAGTAACAGATATGTTTTATGCTTTTTGTTTGTCATGCATCTTGTTTAATTACATTTGGAATACATACAAATCTGGAATAAATTTCAGGTACAGCTTCCAGATTTCTGTTCTTATTACGTAGTGGTTTTAATCTGCTCTCATTATCTGGACACTTTGTTGTTTGCCTTGTAATAAACATTTGCAGTTTCCTAGACTGATTCTTAAGAAAAACCACAAGCATAGAATAAGTAATTGGTGAATGTGCAGTTTAGTCTTTTCAAACATGTTAACAATCACTATAGAATTTGTAGACATAAGACTCTGTCGTTCTGGGGCGTTGAACATCCGCAGTGGCTAGAAGAGTTTCTTCCAATGTTGTTGATGTACTGTGTTTAATTAAGGCATTAGCAGGGATGCCAAAGAATTTTTACACTCAGGAGATCAAACTAGGCCAACCAGTAAAAGTGAGGCCTCTTCAATTCTAACATATTTGCATTAGAATGTAACTTACTAACAGAAAAGTTGGTCAAAAATACTCAAGAATACTGTAGCAAGGTACTTATTTAATGGCAATGGGTGACAACATTATTAAAACTAAATATAAGTGAAACGAAACTTTGAAGAGAGTCCCTTGATTAAATGTCTGTTGATCCACCTATGTTCCAAGCTAGTTTGTGGCGGTTCTCTTGTGTTGTTCATGTAATGTGCATCTCATTACTTAGAGTTTGTGTGACTACAAGTATTACAAATTAACTTCTCTTGATTAACTTGTCAGTTAGTTTTCTAAGGTATCTGTTTTTCACTTAGAAGCAACAGTAGTATCAATTCTCTTGGCGATCTAAATAGGAGAAAAAACATCAATAATTACAGAGAAGGCTGCCTCTTCCTTCACTTCTTGTTCATTCTTTTATGTAGAGGTGCTAATTTAGAAATAATGTCTAGAAGGTTGCCTGTTCTTAAATGCAAAGATTTGAATTTTTTTGTGCTCTGCTTAATAAAGGAGCTGCCAGAGCTTCACAGACAACTTTGAAATATGATCTACTTAAAATGTTACTGTTTCCCTTTCTTCATTATTTTATTTTTATTTTAGAAGGCATTCTGTGAAAAACATGATCATTGTTACTTCTGGCCATCAGTCTTTGCTAGTCGTTTTTCACTTATTTGCCATCAGTTTAAATTAGGACATTCACTGCCTGAGCAAGTAATTGTGTTATCATAAAGACAATGCTGATTTCAAGTGAAGTTTAATTTAAAAGTTTTTCAACAAATTAGAGTACTGTTATGTGTAATATTAAAAATACAGCTGAACCATTCAACTTTCCATCATTATTTTAGGTAAATAAAATTATAGTATGAAATATTGGAATGTTAACTGTAAACTGATAGTTACTGAAAAAAGCCCCAAGATTTTTGTCAGCTGAAATTTCTCACTGCTGCTTTCTAGCATCATTAGTCTAACAGTGTTTCTCCAAAATTGTTGTGTAGTTGTTTCTCTTTGCTCTAGCTATCAATGATCTTAATTAGAAGTTTTTACAGTGTATTTATATTAAAGCTTTATTTGATAACATCATGAAGGCTCCTGAATAATGCCCTGATAATACTTATGTCCCTTTTAAGCACATTGAATCAAATTGTCTTATTTCTAAGTAAGATTGATCAAACAAGGATGTCTTCCTTCCATTTCATAGCTAGGTCTCTTTAGGACAAAAGTAAAATATCCTTTGTGCTGTTCAGTTTACCTATGCCAACTCTGTCTTCCTGTTTTGCAGTTTTGCTCTGCAGTCTGTCTATAATAATGCATCTTTGTCTTAATAAAGTTAAAGCACATTTTTCAAGAAATTACTAATATTTCTGGGAAAGAAATGAAAGAATACTACAAACTAACAAACTATTCCATTGAAGTGCATAAGGTGTAAGTTCGGAAATACAGCTTTTCCTACAAATCTTAGTTGAAGACTGAACAAAACATTTTTGCTTCACGATTGCGTGTGAATCTAGAATCACAGGCCTAATAAGCAATGTTACAATAAGCAACAACTACCAGGCAAAATTAATCAATTCAGACAATGTCTGGTAAGAACATTGACATTCTGTTGATCTCTTGCTGTTGACAAGTAATCTAATCACATTTTGGCTTTACAAAATTCCTGTGAACTTTCACATTCTAGGATAAACTCTTTAGTTTCAGTAGCCAATTTATGGAAATATGAGTAACAGCAAAAATAAGTCACTGAAAAGCAATATAAAAAAAAAGTCATCTTCCTGGTTTTCTACCTGCAGCAGCTAAAAGGAGTGTAAATTAGGTTTATTTGTCCTTCCTTTACTGCTGAAGCATGGACACTAATGTAGTCATTTAATGACATGGAGTCATCTATGTTCTGCATTTTAGTTTAAATTCAAGTCTTCTGTTTACACATGTGTGCAAATAGACTTGGTTAAACATTCATTGTTTTTTCATGAACCAAGTAAAAGATCATTGTCTCTATTAACCTATCACTATTTGCTAAGAAGAGAGCTGAAAACCAAAATGAAGAACTGTCTTGTGTAATTACAGAAAAAAGGATATTGAAAGGAAAAGCTTCTAAAAGAAAGTGTGAAATAAGCCTGTTGACTGGACGTGGTGGATTTATAAAGCCAGACTATAATTTTCAGAGCAAACCTACAGTTATTTCAGCTTTTCAGAAAAACAAAACAAAACAGTCTTGAGTCATTCATGTGATATTTTGGTCAAAATTATTCTGACATTATTAATTGTGGTGAAAAATGAAAGTGTTAAAAACTTCTCTAAGATCTTAAGAATCTACTAAGTATTTTTAGAGGTTTTGATTTTTTTTTTATCCTTTTTTTCTGGCAGATTCCAGGTTTCAAAGCAACCTGGCTGATTTTCAGTACAGGAGCTTGTTACTTTGGTTTTTTGGATAACTTGCACTGTTATTTGTGAAGCTTTTTCTTATTTGTAGAAGAAATAGAAGCCTCTCAGAAGCAAGATTAAGTATCTTCTGATGTTTCTAGTCTAGTCTGAATTAAATTACTGCATTCCTTAATAAATTTCCTAATTAATTTCTGTATTAATTGGCAAAAATGACCTATGTGAAACATTTTACACAAGTACAGAAGTCTGGAATAGGCTTTCTCTAGTTCATATAAAGCTGAATTTGTGTAGTATTTCTTCAATAGGAATATGGGTGTGGGGGTTGGAGCATAGGGAATACTTTGGAGAAGGCTTGGAGGCTTCACAAAAAAAGACAAAAAATGGGAACAGGACATACTAAATAAATTGAAAAACTGTTGATGTCCCACATCAGAACTAATTTGCACTTCTTAATATGTGGAGAAGTATTAGTTACAAGAACTTGTACTGTACCTGTTGAATATGTGGAGTCTCACTTTTTTTTCAGACAACTGCATGTTTTCAACTTAAGTTTACTTAAAGTTTTACTGAAAAGAAATGTACAAAGACAGCCATTGAACTGAGGATTAATCACTATGGCAACAGAAATGTGGTGACTGAAAAAGGGGAGGAAGTATTCTCCCCTCAGCTTCCTGCCAGCTGTCATATTCAACCTCTGCGGCATGAATTCAGGCCAAAATATAGACTGTGACCAGCTCTAAGAAACTATATCTGTATTTTTATAAATTCGTACAAGAATCGCACTATAAAAGACGACTTAATCCTCTGAATTGGATGACAGACATTTGGCACTCTTGCCAGTGTTTGACAGAGAAATAACGGGATGCTTTGTAGTAAAACCTGGATTAATGGTAAACCCCTCTTTATGTTATTGCAATGTGGTGTAAATGAGAGAACTAAGCATGCTGTCAGCCTAGGGAAAAAAAAGTGCCCTTTGTATCTCCAATGCAGATTTAAGTGCTGTTGAGAATACTGTAAATACAAAAAATGTGTCATTAAGAACTCCTCTTTATCTTATTTGTATTACATTGACATTTTGTAGGTTATTTAAACAAAAACTTTCTATCAGTTATAGTAACTCTGATTGCAGTGTGTTTGCGCAGCTTTCAGATTCAACAAGTTTAGATAGTTGTTTATAAAGAGTAGGCTTTTGGGAGATAACATTCCATTATCCTTGTTCTTCTAGGATGGGGAGTGCTATTCAGCTTTAAAATAATTGTTCCCAAATGATTGGCCTGTGATGCTGCTTTTCTGAGTTTACTGTTTCAGTTTACAATGGGATTAACCATTTCAGTGTGGCTTTCAGTTGTTTCTTTTAACTGCAGTGAGTTCTTATGTGAAGCGTAGATGCATTTTCATTATGGTGTATGTGCATGGCTTTTGGTTTTCCTACTGTTTGATGGAGGGGTGAGAGGGTGAAAGAAGATGGGTGCAAGTCTCTGCTCTGGCACCTCTTCCCCATCCTTTCTTCACTGGCCTTAAGCGTCCACAGAGTTGTTTCTCTCACATCACACTCCTCTCTGCTGCAGGTTCCCAGCAGTCGTTTTATTTTTCCCCTCCTAGAGA